GTATACTCTTGGAAGTCAAGCTTCCTCTGTGCAAGGTGCCGTGTGCCCCGTCACACACGAGATGTGCATAATGTGACCACACACCCAAACAATAATACGGGACGGGGCTAGGTAGTAAGATGGTTCCGGGAACCAAATACTGCGTAACACGCCAATGGTCCCTGCCTAAGGAGCAGTGCGCGTCGTTGACGCCTTTTAGTGGCGTATCGTTCACGCTTACAATAAGCTAAACGCTATCATAATTTCGGCACAGACGCCGATTTCTAAAAGCAAAGATGTTCTCTAGAACGATATGGTTGGCTGTACAAAGTATAGCGCACTCGACTCTGTCTAGTTATTACATATTGCTCATGAGAGCGAGCGATATTCCGCTGATAGCGGTGAGTATTCCGAGCGGGATGCCATGGGAGTTGCTGGTGATGCCCCAAGGGTTGTCAAATACACCAGCAACATTTCATCGTCTTGTGACGCAGTTGTTCGGGTCCCACAGGGCGTATGCACAGACATACTTTGACGATTCTGCCACAGTCGTGCGGGGCACGGGAGGACAGATGTGGAAGACCACATCGTTCATTTGCGAGCGGTGCTCGAGTGCACGCGCACGAAAAAGCTGTATGCTACTTTCGGTAAGTGCATCTTTGACGCGGAAGAAATCCCCCTTTCTAGGGGACTTCATTGGGAAACGTGGCCTTCGAGCGGATCCGCTAAGGTCAAGGCCATTGTGGACTGGCCAGTTTCAGAAAGCCGAGGGCGAGATCGGGTAACCGCATTCGAATCTCGCCAGCTTAAGGCTGCAGAGAGGAACTACCCAGTCTACGACGAGGAATTACTTGCGATGAAGTATGCACCTGTCAAGTTCAGGGTGCACCTGCTTGGCTCAAAGCCGTTTGTGATCTACACAGATCATGCGTCATTACGCACTGCTACACTGCTACTCAGTCGCCTCACCTCTCGCAGAGAATGGCCAGGTGACTCTCATTCTTTGCAGATATAACTTCGAGGTGTAGGATACGCCAGGAAAGCAGAATGTTTTGGCTGACGCGCTGTCACGAAGACCGAACTATGAGCTTGCTCATATCACGACGGTGACGTCGTCAGTGACGGGTTTAATGGACGAGCACATATGTGAGACGTGTCAGAGGGTGAAACCCTCTCCGAATGCGGTGGCGCCGCTGGTCAGCTTACCGGTCACCTCCGGGAGTTGGCTGTTCATGAGTATGGACTTTGTGTTTGGCATGCCGAAGGACTCGGCGTACAACATGGGTGTCGTGGTCTCTGTGGACTGTTTGAGCAAGATGGCTCATCTTGCGGCAGTGCCGAACACCATCGACGGTATAGATACAGCGACGCTGTTTGTGGATCGTGTCTTTCGACAACATGGACTCCCGGAGTCAATTATCATTGATAGAGACCCACGCTTCACCGGGAGGTTTTGGTCTACTGTGTTGGGCACCAAGTTGACTATATTAACAGCGAACCGTCCGCAAACCAATGATCAAAATGAGCGCGTGAATCGTGTCGTTGAAGATGTTCTTCGCAGAATCTGCGCTGGGACGCCGAAGCGCTGGTACGCCATGCTGCCACTAGAAGCGTCTGCTCTGAGCAATGCAGTGCATTCATCTACCAGCTACACGCCGTTTGACGTGAACGGGCTCGTTAATCCCCACGCCCCGCTTACGCCGCTATCCCATTGCTCAGGGGGGGAATAGCCGAACGGCTAGCTGATATCAGCCCACTCACTGTCCGTAAGGAAGTCGATGACTTGCTGCCTACCAGACCGAGTATCTTACGACACGTTCGCGATGCCATGACTGAAAGCCAAGACATGCAGATGGAAGAAGCAGAAGAAATGTGGAAAACTTTGAGGTCGATGACCCGGTTTCATTAAGTACCTTAAAATTTCCTACACATGCAGATTGTGCTGTCTCAAAGACAAAGGTCCGTCCACGGGTTATTGGAAGTTTTAAGGTCGTGTCCTAGCGAGGCCTTGCGTATACGCTGAACTTTCAGAGAAGGATGCGCACCCACCTGATGTTTTTATGTGGGCTGGCGTAAGCCGTACCGGGATCCGGCGCAAGTCAACGCGGAAGCGTTGGTCCCGGGGCGGCGCCCAAAGACGCTCGGCCACCTGGAAGTTGAGCTAGCAACTGGTTCTGAGCACGGATTGCAACAATTTTGTTTCCAACTGCGCAAGGCGCTCCACCTTCGCACGAAGTGACGTATCCGCCTGCTCGACGACTAGGAGCCGCTCCATCAGAACACAATGACTCTCAATGTGAGGCAGTCGGTGCACAAAGTGCTCAAGGCTCTCGAGGTCTCCTGCACAGCGGTAGGCGACCTCGGCGAGATGCTCGGCAGAGTGCTGATGACGACGGGCTTTGTCCT